CCCTGTATGTTGTCAGATTACAGTTTGTATAAAATTTATTCACACTAGCCGATTATCGGTCCAAAGATCTGGAAACTAGCACAATATGATGTTATCAGTCAATTTAAAAGATAGTGTACTCACTACCCAATCAAGCTCAGTTTAGGTTGATTTAAAATCAAAAAACAAAAAAAATATATATTGACACAATATGAATGTATATATAAAAAAAACGTATGTGTCTTGTACTCTTAGTCAGTCGCAGTACAACAGTCGAACCTGTCTTTTAAAGAAAAAGCTTTCCCTGCTTGGTGCTGCACCAAACAGACAAAACTTTGAAGGCAGCAATTTTCTCAAGTGGGCGTCTATTGCACCCACCGAGTACTGTGTTACCTATCTGCCTTCGGACTGCCCGAGCTAGACCTACTAAAGTCCTCAGGGCAGTCACTTTTCCCAAAAACGTATTATGTCCAATCCACACCAATGAACCACGTTCTCTTTAATTTAGACTTAGTGTCGCGAATATCCGAGTTTGGACCTGTTTTGTATTAGTCTTGTTCTTATCGAAAGGCAAGTTACCAGCGCAGTCACTGATACCTAGCCTGTGTATTAATAACTTAATACTTCTCACTTTTTAGTCTTTCTTTCGTTCACCTAAGTCCTTAATAAAAAAAATACCCCTCCGGATTGGCACAAATAGGACCCTTCCGGATTTGTCAGAATCTAGACCCCTCCGGATTTGGACCCCTCCGAGTTGGTTAATACTAGACCCCTCCGGATTTGGACCCCTCCGAATTAGCTCAAATAAGACCCCTCCGGATTCGGATCCCTCTTGAAAAAACTTCGACCCCTCCGGATTGGGAGCCCTCCGATTTTGTAAAAGTAGCTTTTAGGAGATTTCCTTTTTTCAACCTATACCCCTCCGAATACGTTCTCCGATGCACTTATGCTGTTTTAATTAACTGGGAAGGGTATAGGGTCCTTTCCTAGACCCCTCCGGATTGAAGTTAAGCCTCTTGTTTGACAATTCACACTAACGGTGAAGGGTCTTGTCGCTGGCCTAACTTTGGCTCGGTCAAGCTTCTGCGGTGACTTTAGCCCTCCCTCTACGTCTAGAATGGCCTAAAGTTACTTTACTCAACCGCTATTACCTTTTGGTAAGGGTATAAGGGCTTTTCAGAAAAATTGTAAAACGTGAAGGGTGTACCCCTCCGGATTTGTGTAATTTGCCAAAAACAATCTCAAAAAATTTTCTCTCTCGCTTTTCCGAAAAATTTCTGATCCTGTTAGTAAGCTCAGCTAATTTCTGATCTGTTGGTACCAAGATCAACTCGATATGATCAGTAGTTCCAAAGTTATTAACCAAAACGTCTTTTTTTCGAACTCAAAAAATTTTCTCTCTTATAGGTTCCGCCTAACTTTTTCCGCAAATCTGGTCCTTTCGACCTAAAAATTATTGATCCGAGCTCAGAAGGCCTATACTCTTCTAGTTCAATGCAAAAGACCCGATCTAAAACGCTATTGTAGAAAAATTTTGCGAAAAACTATGCTACCTGGACCCCTCCGGATTGATGAATCCACCAAATCAAACACGTTATGTTCGATTTCTCTGCAACCCGGAAGGCTTTCGGGTAGCGGATTTTAAGACTTGTAGATTCACTAGTGGACGTTGTCCGAACAACTATTTTTACTGTCCTACCTCAAAAATTTCAAAAAATTTTCTAAATTTTTAGTGTTTCTTACTATCAAAATTTGGGAAAATTTGGTTTTTTGTACCAAACTAGTTTTAACCACTTCCGAACTAAAGTTAACCGGTTCTGCTTCTTACAGTAGTGCAGTTACGATGTAACACACTAACTTAGTGTTTTTTTCCGCTTCAAAAAATATCGATATCTCAAAAATCGCGACTTGTGGGGGGATCAAAATATCGCAATTTTGACCCTAAAAACCGGTCAGTTCTCGTTGTTTTTGTCTGAAAATCGATATAAGACTATTAATATAGGCTATATAAGTAATAATATTAGGAATACTATACCCCTCCGGGTTTGTTTAATCTCCGAATTAAGGTGCTTAACTCGGATATTCGCAGTTCGGTGAAGGGTCACTACAGTGCAGCACTGTCGAGCCCCCCACAGATTACTATCTTACTTTTTGTACCAAAAGGGATACAAAACTTGTTAACGATACCCAACAGTCGATTGTAGTTGTCGTTGAGCCTCTTCCTGTTGTTCCCTGTACTGCTTGCCGGATCGGTCTTCACCCCGGACCCTTCCGAATTGAGCGCAAATCAGCTGACCCTTCCGGATTGGGCGCAATTTATCATTAACGTGCTTAAATGCTCAAATAACCCTACAGTACAAGCCCCACAAACGGGCTACAAAATTGATCGTAACGATCCTGACTGATATAAATGCCTGTAACAACAATATATCTATCAACAACAAACGGGGGGGTTGAATCACATCTTGTCTGGGGGGATGATTTCTACTGATTTTTTACTTTTTTACTGTTTTTGGTTTTTTCGGTTATTTTTTATGTTTTTTGTTTTTCTTGGGTACTATACTACTTTTTGTTTGGTTTTGCTTATATCTTTAAGTGTTTTTGGTCACAAACCACTCAGGGGATGAGGAGACGGCCGATCCCCCCACCCTTCCTGGTTCGTGAATTTTCGGTCTTAACTAGGTTAAAAAACTATTCACGGCAATTCGGAAGGCCTCCGCGTTCCGAACTACCCTTCCGCCCCGGCGGTTTAGGCTTATTAAGGGCGTTAATGTGAGCATCCGCTCGGCGCGGAGTGCTCGTTAACGGTTGTGCCGGTCATGATGTTAAAAAAGAATAACACCCAGGAGCGCCATAAAAACATACATGTAACATTCGCCCGGAAGATACATATCGACGGATAACAAAACTAAGTCTTAAGACGACTGGCTAGCGTCTAAACAGAGCTTTGCATGTTTTTCACCGTCTCTACCAAGCCAGTACTTTTCGGTGGTCTTTCTTACATCAGGCTGACAAAAACGTTACTGTTCTCCGGCTTCGACCAGAACGCTCAAATTAACTAGATTACATGCAAAAATAGTGAGCTCATGGCTGGGTGTCAGTATCCCCAGACCACGAGGTCACTCCTAAAAACAGGGCTACTACTTATTATATTACTATTGTTTTTGTTCAGTAGATAAAAATCATCATCTCCATCGAAGATGGATCAACCCTTTCCCCCCTACTTCTAGCTCCTCATTCTTGTCAAAACGAATTAAGATCTTAATTAAATTCAAGTCAGGACATGACGGATACTAAAATTCAATATAAGTTCATAAAAGTCCACGTCCCGAGACCCTTCCGGATTCTTGAATCCGGTGAATCAAGCTTCTTAATATCCAGTTCACAATAACTCGGAAGGCTGGGTTTTACCCTTCACCGTTGCTCGCAACGGCCTTGCAACTATTGTAACAGCACAATAGTTGCAACTCGGAACGTCCTCTGCTGTTCGGTAGTTCGTTGTAGTTTTTTAGTCTCGATTTCGTACTGTTCGTAATCGCAGATAAAAGTTGTTCTGTTTTTTCTTGCTCTTTTAGCTAAAAATGGCCGTTTCTGACGTTTCTCAGAAATATGACGTCATAATTCGAATTTTTAAAAATTAGAATTCCAGAATCTTCTAGCCTTCACCGTTTGGCTAATCGTTCAAATAACGTCCTTATCCGTTCTAAATCGCCAATTCGGAAGGCTTGCTGCTAAAATACCGAATTCTGCAGAGACTGCATTTTGGCCATTCTGGTCGAATGTCACAATAAAAGTAATTTCGTGCATTTTGTAAATTCTGTTCGATGACACTGTAACCATTTAGAACATTGCGCGATTCAATGAGGACATTGACCGGACTGTCCGGGGAGTATGTGACATTCGACCGGAATGGCCAAAATGCAATTTATGCAGGATTCGAATTTTGAGCAGTAAGCCTTCCGAGTTGATGATTTCGAAGGATTAGCGACGTTATTGGAACGTTTAGCCAAACGGTGAGGGCTAGAATGTTCTAGTATTTTAAATTTTCAAAAATTCGAATGATGACGTCACATTTCTGAGAAATGCTGAAACGGCCATTTTTACAAAAAGCGAGTGAAAAACAACAACTTTTATCTGCGATTGCGAACAGTACGAAAATCGAGATTGGAAAACGACAACGAACTACAGAATAGCAGAGAACGTTCCGAGTTGCAACTATTGTGCTGCTACAATAGTTGCAAGGCCGTTGCCAACAACGGTGAAGGGTGAGAACCAGCCTTCCGGATTAGCGAGAAATCAAGAGTAAGGAGCTTGATTCAGCGGATTCAAGAATTCGGAAGGGTCTCGGGACGGAAACTTTTATTAACTCACATAAACTTTTAGCATCCTGTCATGTCCTGACTTGAATTTAACTGATATTTTGATTAGTTTTGACAAGGATGAGGTGCTAGGAGTTGGGGGAAAGGGTTGATCCATCTTCGATGGAGATGATGATTTTTATCTACTGAACAAAAACAATAGTAATATGATAAGTAGTAGCCCTGTTTTTAGGAGTGACCTCGTGGTCTGGGGATACAGAGACCCAGCCATGAGCTCACTAATTTCGCATGTAATTCAGTTAATTTGAGCGTTCTGGTCGAAGCCGGAGAACAGTAACGTTTTTGTCAGCCTGATGTAAGAAAGACCACCGAAAAGTACTGGCTTGGTAGAGACGGTGAAAAACATGCAAAGCTCTGTTTAGACGCTAGCCAGTCGTCTTAAGACTTAGTTTTGTTATCCGTCGATATGTATCTTCCGGGCGAATGTTACACTTCCGGGCGAATGTTACATGGTCCCAAAAAAATCCCGTTTTCCGGCATCCGGAATAGCAAAACGTTCGTTACGATATCGTTTTGTAAGCCTTGTCTCAGAAACTTAAGTCTATGGAAACAATTTTGTAGTTTAAGATGCCATTTACGATACTCTAGCTTTAGTTTCCACGAAAATTTTTATGCAATATGTTGATTCATTGTTAATTTTTCAGACAATGATATGGGTCAAGGTTGCGAAATAGTTTGATTTAACATCATTTTAATGGCAGGTGAGAACTCAAATTTTTTAAATCATTATGCAAAAGGTTAAGCCTTCTAGCGACCTATGTTTTCCGTTTCCTATTATCGGGCGGGAAAGCGCTTGATTACTTTTGGTGATTTTTTTTCTCCACAGAATCACGTAACGAAAAAGGTATCGGAGTAATGGATATTTGTTGTTCTAGTTCGATGGTATTCAGATTCGATTAAGGTTTAATGACCAACTGCTTTTTAGCTGATTTAAATTTGTTGAACGGCCCTAAATAGTAAAAAGAAGTCACATTTTGTCATCCACTTAAACATCTTAAAGTCTGACGCGAGATCTAAGTGATGTCGACCTGGAGTTTCGTCGACTTCATGACCTAACACATTAGGTCTGTTCAAGAGTTTATTTTTTACTTTCTTAACAGTCTGTTGGTTGAGTTAAATTTAGCAAAGATATTTTTGTGATTTCTGAAGATGAAATTTTTTTTACGATTGTAGGTTGCTGTCAGTGTGCTAAACCCCGTTATAAACGGTTTGTGGACAATATCTACCCAAAGGATCCAGCGGTGAGTAAAGTCAAACGCGATCTAAAAGGAATTAAAAAACTTATATCTAAACTGTATTTACTTAAGGATGGACTCGTTAACGCGAACATGGGTAAATTGCAGTATTATGCTCTGCAAAGTTCTCCCAGTCAGTTAGATAAAATAGGGCGCTACATTCTTCAAAAAGTGGAACGCGATCTTCAGAGAGGCGAAAGGCGTGAAATGTGAGAAACGCTTAACTTGGTTTCGATTGTATTATATGTATACATAATAATATTTGATCCAACACAGAGCTGAATTAGGTATATCTTCCTCTCCATGGATGCATTAGACCAGCTGTTAAATGCGTGCCATTCGCGTGCTCTCAATCTTTTCGTTTCTTCCTTCATGAGCATCATTGAAATTCTACTGGAGGAGGGCTCTGTACCGCTCAAGTCAAGGGCTACAAAATCCGTAAGTCGGAGTACAAATTTCCCATTGTTGTGGGGCGCGGCTTATTATTATGGGCGTCATGCACTTGTAAACTTGAATTTATCATGTAATTTCCGTTTTCGAATGGTTGCTGATTGTTGTTCCGTCTATTGAAAATGGGGAGGAACTTTGTATTCGGGTGTTTTAGTTTTTTGTTTTCCACGCAAAATCAGGTACCACAAATAATCATCGGTCTGGGGTGAGTGATATATCATATTAAAGCCCTTTCAGTCGTGATTCGAACAACCTCAAAAAATGCCCAAATTTTTTTGTGTCGAGAAGAACCGTACTAAAATTTTTGATTTTTGGTCCAATTTCGAGCTAATAAGGTGACTGTGTAGGCTTACAATAGCCTATTTCAGCTTAACTTAAGCCGTGAAAACTTAGTTTAACTCAAGTAAATGTCGTTTTTTAGCGCAATTATGAGAATCAAAAACTTAAAATTTTTTAAAAATTTCTGCAAAAAAACGCTTGAAATTTTATATAAGTTTTTTGCCGTTTTTCTGGTCATTTTTCATCAAAAACTGTTTTCCAATTGACCTAATTTAGTATGACTCTCAAATTCTGTTTTTTTTTTGTTCAGATCTTTTTATCACAACTTGCAGAAAAAAAAACGACACCAATTTGAAAAAACTTTTTTTTAAGACTAGTCGGAACATTCTGTGCTACTTTTTTTGCTTCTTTTTCAGTAAAAAGTCTTAAAGTTTGTTCATGCAAGTTTTGATTTTTCGCGGTTGACCCGTAATTTTTTTTCAAGTTCGCTGCCTTTCCATTGTTAAAAGGAAGGCAAACTCCACTATCGAACAGCAAAGTTGTGAAGATCACGAAAAACGTGATTGACTTCTGATTTCGAAAATAAATTAGTTATGAGATTTCCCAGCGAAATCAAAGTCTGACGTATTGATCCAGTTTTCTCAAATTGGGTTAATTTTAACACTAAAGGGTCCATCAGAAATTGTTCTACAAATTCAAAGAGCTTAAAGGCCATCTATTTTTTTCTTTGAAAGTCAAAAGTTGAAGGCTCTTGAAAAAACAAGTAATTTTTTTTATTTTTCTTGCATTCAATACTCTTTTCCAACTGTTTAGTTTGCTATGTTTGTTTTTTTGAAGGCGGTCACAATAAAGTTTCGAACTCTTTTGAAGGCGTGGAGACTATTTTTTGCACGTTGGGGTATGTGCATTCGAAATTGAGAATAAAAACTTCATTGATTACGATTAGCATGCGTTGTCAAATCGTAGACTAACTTTTGTCCAGGCCAACATTTTTTCTAACAAAGTCACTGAATCATTCGATAGCTTAATTTTTAAGAGTCATGAACGTAGCGAATACTCTTATATAGGTCTTGTTTTTTTTTCCTGGAGTAAGTTTTCTCAAATTGGGTTAATTTTAACACTAAAGGGTCCACAAGAAATTGTTCTACAAATTCAAAGAGCTTAAAGGCCATCTATTTTTTTCTTTGAAAGTCAAAAGTTGAAGGCTCTTGAAAAAACAAGTAATTTTTTTTATTTTTCTTGCATTCAATACTCTTTTCCAACTGTTTAGTTTGCTATGTTTGTTTTTTTGAAGGCGGTCACAATAAAGTTTCGAACTCTTTTGAAGGCGTGGAGACTATTTTTTGCACGTTGGGGTATGTGCATTCGAAATTGAGAATAAAAACTTCATTGATTACGATTAGCATGCGTTGTCAAATCGTAGACTAACTTTTGTCCAGGCCAACATTTTTTCTAACAAAGTCACTGAATCATTCGATAGCTTAATTTTTAAGAGTCATGAACGTAGCGAATACTCTTATATAGGTCTTGTTTTTTTTTCCTGGAGGAAGTCATAAATTTTGTTCATAAACGCTCAAATTTGATTTTCGAGGTTTGGTTGATTTATAATTTTAAATCAATCTATTTCACTTCATTTACTGTGCAGGCAAACTATCGAACAGCGAAATTCTGTTTTTCTCTAAATTTGATAAGCTTACGAAAAAGCGCCCGTCATGAACAGTAATTGAAATTCAAAAAGCTTAAACGTGATATATATATGTTTTGATAGTTGAAAAATAATCTAAAATTTTAAATCATTTTTACTCCGTTTCCTTGTTCTTTAAATTTTTTTCCAACTGTCTGTTGGCTATGTTTCTTTTTTCAGTTGAAATCCGGATTTCATCTGATGGCGAAACTTGACAAAAAATATTCAATTTTTCCCGTTTTTCATATAGGATTCCTTCGGTTGATTTGAGTTTGTCAAACGGGTTGGACCTACTTACTTATAGACCCCCTACGGTATCTACTAAAGAATTGCACCAATAATAAAAGCTGTAAATTAGCGCTAGATTGTTTCATTCAAAATTCGCATTTTTGCTGCATTCTGATTAATTTAATTACTCCGTTTTCTTAAGGGGGGGGGGGTGGATCTCATTGTTAAGTAGATCCAATGGTTTTTGTGAATCATTGGTATGTTAGAAAATGACTGGATTGTGCCAAATTTTGAGATAATTTTCGACTATTTTCATATCTTCCAACACCATCACTTGCGATACAAAAACATGTCAGCGCTCACACAAAGAAATGAATTCTAAAAAACCTTTTTTAAAAATTTTAAAACAAGGTGTCTCACTAGCCCATGTGCTGAGAAATTTTTAAAAATGAACTGTAGATTTTTGCAGGGGCGGATCTTAGATTTTCTCGAGAGGGGGCGGATTTTCAAAAAAAATGTTGAAAAAACAATCCAAAAAGGCGTTTTTAGGGACCTTTTGAAAAGTTGACGTAAAAATTGCATTTTTTCGGCGCGCGCTCCCCCTTCAAAATTAGTATATATTGGCGCCAAATGCGCTTTTAGAAAAAATTATGGGTCCGTCAGCCAAAAATGGATATCTCAAAATAGTACAAAGGGGGGACCGAATCCCTGAGGAAGGAGGGGAAGGAAGCGTCCGCCCGCACCTCTCCTAAATCAGCTGTTGGATTTTCGGTAATTTTGATTATGAAAAATTAACAGCGGAAATCTTGTAATTTTGAGTTTTTAAATTTCAGTTCATTCAGTTTTGCAATATACAAGAAGATAGTCCTTCACAGCAGAGATATGGTTTCTTCATCGAGATTTTTTCGACGCTCAGTCACACGGATCCAAAGGGCATCGATCACAAATCAGTCGAGTAAGTACTCATTTTTATTTGGTCAAACAACTTCTGGACAGTAAAATTGAAAAAAAAAATGGGTATGAAAGTTTTTTTCAAATACGGTATCATATCAAATTGAATCATGGTTTATATTTCACGAAGAGCCGAAATTGAATGGACGTCGAAGAGTTTGCAGCACGTTTAAAAGCTCCGTATAATAATGACTATTACAATTTGTTTGGTAACTAAAATGATCGTTTTCCAATGTTGCAGTGAGATTTACTTGTAAGTATCGACGTCAACCCAATTCAAACAACCCAATAAATAGCCAGAAGTAACTCTTAAGTTTGGCCTGTTATTGAATTGTAATTAATGCGTTATCAATGGAAGCTTAAAATGTTAAGTTTTGAAGCTTAATGTGTACATAGTGGCTGCGCCCTTAACTGTATTATGTATGCTTGATACTCAGTGAAATCAGCTGAAAAAAACTAAATGTTGAATGAAGCACGAATTTTTGTTAATCAGAATCAGGCCCAGTAGAATTCTGCTGACAGGAGAATTTAGCTTAGAGAGCAAAAAAATTTTAGAGCAGAAAAGAGGGCAGAATTTGAAATAAAAATTTTTTATAGGAAATGTTATTTTTTATACAAAAAAAATTCGAATTTATGGTCTTAAAAATAATATTTTTGCTGAAAATTAACTGTAAACTTCTTGTCGGTAGCAGAAACTGGTTTCAAATTTGATAAGTTTAGGTCAGATCAAATTAATTAATGTAAATTTAGACTTAAAATTGCGCAAGAAGGGAATCAGAAATTTGAAATTTTTTCGTAAAATTCCTTCAAAAAGAGCCAGTTTGCATCAAGTTTGTTAAACAAAAAAGCAGGATTTCGCTTATTGAAAGCGGCAGAATTCTCCTGGGTTTGAGTAGGAACCAACTCACTTTGATGCTGAACCCGATGGCATGAGTAACTCTGCGCTTAGAATACAAGTGTTTGATTGAATTGTGAAATTTCAGCCGTAAAAAGTAAGTACATTTCAGACAGATTTTAGACATTATTAGCCTTTTATAGTGCTTTTGATTTGGTGAATGGATTTTAGAAACAGTCGTAGTTTATTTCCTAGTTATGTTTGGTTATGGCGCACCTCAGAAGATTCGTGTTTGTTTGTGAATGATAAAAAGGCAAAGATGGAGTTAGCGTGATCAAGAGCGGATCAGATCTATGATTTTCATGACTATGATTTTCATGTGGTTTTTTTTTTCGGTTTTCGTTGTTGAAAATGTCATCAAACGTAGTAAAGAGGCTTATATAGATAGATCGTGATGATTATGAGTAATGAACAAAGTGAGTATTCTTATATAGGTCTTGGTGATTTGTGTTGTTTCTTTTTTTCAGGAAAAGTCTAAAATTTGTTTCACGTTCAATTTTGATTATTCGCGGTTTGACTTTTGATTTCTTTTTCAAGTTCACTCCTTTATTTCTTTTGTTAAAAGGAAGGCAAACTGCACTATCAAACAATTCAAGCGTAAAGCTCACTAAAACGTGATCGACTTCTAGTTTAGAAAGTAGAATTTAATTTTTAGATTTCCCAGCGGGTTAGAAAATATATCTTCTGATCCCGTTTTCTTAAATTGGGTTAAAGTTTCCAAAAGGGAAAGTTTAAAGGATTTTAAGAGCTTAATGATTTTTTGCTTCGAAATTTGAATATTATGTCTTTTCGAAATGTCTGTGGCTATGCTTTAGATTTCAGTGGAATAAAGAAGTTCTAACTTTCTAAGTGGCATATTTCCAATGAAAATTTTCCGAATGGCATTCGAAGAAATTTTGAGTGCCAATATTGATGAAAATTATAATCAACTTTTTTTCCAACCTTTTTTTGTAAAAAAAAGTTTCTCTCGAAACTTCTTTAATACAACTGTTGCATGCAAATTATACCATTTGGGGAATTTTGTTTTCACGCCATGTAAAAACTAAGCCATTTGAGACTTAATCCATAAAATACCTATTGATCCAGTTTTCTCTAATTGGGCTAGTTTTAGGAAAAAAGTTTTCATAATTATTTTTTTTTGCAAATTAGAGCTTCGACATGACATATTTTTTTCTTGTTTTTTCTTATGTTTCAAAAAAGTCAATTGTTTTTTTTTTCTGCGTTTCTTGATTGTTTTAACATTTTTCAACTGTTTGTTCGCTTTGTTTTTTTTGGCCGAAGAAAAAGACTTATCTGGCACTTTTAAAACACTAAAGTCATTGCCTTGGCTAAAAAAAATTTTGTCCGACAAGCAAATGAGCTAAAATGGCATTTTCGAAGATTTTTGAGTACAAATGCGCTTTTTTCGGCGCGCTGCTCCTCATTATTACTATATTTTGACCCCCTTAGAAAAATGTTATGACTAATTGGCCATCAATCCGCCTTCCGTTTCGTAATCCGCCTCTGAGCACTTGATTTTGACGTAGAGTTTTTCATACTTCAAGGTCATGTCTTTTGGTAATGCATGCATATTTTAAACCCACTTTGAATTTGAGTTGACTGCAAGCGCAAAATGAAGCACATGTGCATAACGTCCTTACAGTTGCTTTATTTTATTTTGGGCTCTACTGAGTTCCCCAACCTGATATCAGATCAATATTGTGTTGTAATTTTTGGGTTTAAAGTTGTAAAAGCCGATCATATGTGCTTACAATTGGTCAGTCAGCTTACTTGCCAATTTTCATAAAAATTTGACAACGTTAAAAAAAGTTGAAGCATGAAAACTTGCAAGTAGAAGAGCCTGAGTTTGAAACTGCAATCAACTATTGGATGGAATCTTTGTTAGCTATCAAGTGTTCTCGCTATTACTTGTCAAGTTGCCTTTGTGTAAAAGTATACTTTTTGCGTTTAATTTCAACTTTCTTGGCGTTTATTTCAACAAACTCGACTTTTGTTCAAGACTCAGTAGCTAGCTAATATTTCAAAAACGTTTTAAATTTTAAAAATTGCATTCAATTTCAACTCAAATTTTGCTCGTTTCGTTATGAAAGGAACTTAGACAAGATTCCTTGTTCAAAAGTAAGGACCGTTCCGAACTGGGTCCAGTAAATTGTTGTCTGATACAATAGCGATGAATTGAAGTTAGTTGAATGCATAAAAAGTTTAGTTTATGAAATGCACCGGGAGCTTAAGGCACATGAGTATAAAAGAGTTGGCTGGAATATGTGGCCAGGAATGTTGACATCAATGCACGGGTCTTTCCCATAATAGCCCCCCTCAGCTTAGTTACAAAAAGTTACAGCCCCCTAAACTCGTTGTACTATTATGGGTGGGGGGGGGGGCATTAATTTCCTTGGTAGGCGCAGGGGTGGTGGGCTATAACAGGGAAGATCCCGAAGCTCCAAGCTGTGAAAAGTGTACCATTAAATGTGTTAAGTGGGGTATCAATGTTAACTAACTCATGAGATGTGACGATTTAGGAGTCGAGTAGCGGGACTTCAGGGCCTGCAGGGTATAGTGCGGAAGACGGCGGAGGAGGACTTTGCCCGCTTCCAGCTGTACGAGAGGTCAAATCTCAGCAAAATCTTGCCTGCCCTCTTGATGAATATCGAGAAGGGCGAGTGGGAGAGTGCCAACAGAGACACATCAAGAGACACGCCTGGAAAGTTAGTTTATTTGTTAAGCTAGTTAGTTAAGTTGGATCAAGTGATGGCCATTTAAATAATCTTCTTTTTTTAACGATCAATCAAAGTTTTATGCATTTAAATCCACAATGCATTAGCGGATTCTTTTCCTTTAAAAGTTTAAAGATTACATACATTTTGGATATAAATGTATAAGTTTGGATACATTTTCTTGCATTAAATTTTCGGTGGCCGCAAAAAATGCAATTTTTTTTCATGAAAAAACTAGCTTGCAATAATTGAACTGCAAGACTGAATTTTACCGCTCAATTTAATGAAACGTGGAGTAAAAGTTTGCAATAATCATATAATTCATGCAAACTATGATTAAGTTTGCAATAATCATAGTTTGCAATAATCAATAATCATGGGCTGCCAAGCAATAATCATATAATTCGTGTTAAGTATAAGTAAGTACATTCAAAGTTTGAGTGTTCATGTGGTAAATAGATGTCGTTGTTCGATACAGTTTAAATATTAATTGCCCGTAAAAACATATTTTTTGATGATGGAAATACATAATTTTAAAAATGATAGCCGGTTACTGTGCTAGCAGCACAGAATGTTCCTGCCAAACATTAATTTTGCTCGTGCAAAACTAAGTTTTTACGCTTAAATTAAGCGTAAATAAGATATTTTAAGCCTGCTAGCTTACCTTATCTGCTCGAAATTAGACCAAAAATCAAAAATTTTGACACCTCACGGATTTTTCGTTTGATACAATCAATTTCCATAGCCCTGAAATATTTTTTGTGGTTTTTGTTTGGCTTAAAATTTTCGTATGTTACAAATGTTTTCGTCTTGTGTTTTATCGTCTTAGTTACCTTGGTTTGTGTCGCTTCAAAATCAAATATAATTTATTCCAAAAATCAGTTTGTCTTGCAAAAGTTCAAAGTTTCAAACTTAATTGCTCAAAGTTTTTGATATCAATAATTGCTTTTGGCATTTTTTATTCTCGACTCAATGAGCGGCTTAGAGCGGCTGTTTTTGACTCAATGGACGCATTGTCGGCTAAGTGGCCCATTGTTAAAATTAGGATTTTTAATGCTGTTGAAGAGTAATAAACGTAATGAAAATACTGTTATATAGGTCTTGCTGATTTTTTTGTTTTTTTTCAGGAAAAAAATTTGTTCACGCTCAATTTTGATTTTTCGCGGTGTGACTTGTGATTTCTTTTTAAGTCCAGTGCATTTCTATTGTTAAAAGGAATGCAAACTCCCTTATCGAACAGCAAAATTGTAAAGGTCACAAAAATTTCGAAAATGGAGTTTAATTAGCAGTTTTCCTAGCGAAATAAATGTTTTACCTATTGATCCAGTTTTCTCAAATTGGGTTAGTTTTAACAAAAAAGTGTCCATCAAAAATTGTTCTACAAATTCAAAGAGCTTTAAGTCCATTTATTTTTTCTTCGAAATTCAAAATGTGAAGGTTTTTGAAAAAACAAGTAGTTTTTTTTTAAGTTTCCTCGCGTTGCAACTGTCAGTTGGCTTTTTTTGTATTTTCCGGACTTTTTTCTTATTCTTTTTTCAAAATATATATATATATATATTCGATGAGATTTCCATCTCCTTTTCTATTTTCTAGTTTGCTATGATGCGCTTGCGTCGTATCGCAAGTGATGTGAAGATCCGCTTCGCCTTTATGTAGTTAACTTATATATTAAATTTAATCACAGAATTTTTTATAGAAAACTGCTTTTGTTGAAGTATATTTTTGCTTTGAACATCTGATTGGTCTAAATGACCAGCTAAGTATAGGTTAATCGAGCTGATACCTAAACAAGGCCATTTATTATGAGAAAGGAAACTGATTACTTCTTTCAGGTGACCTTTTGTTTCTTTCTCAGATGAAACTAAAAATAGAATTTCCTTATTAAAAGTTAGTACAAAATTACTTTGTTATTTTCCCATAAAGCCTTCGGCTGTATATGTTCTTCAGCTCTATATTAATTTTAACACAAACGGTTTAATTAAAACTTACTCGTTTACAAAATTTGCTAGATAATATAATTACTTTGGTGCAATCATTTTTTTAAGTTTGATTTTGGTTTTATCTGAAGGGTATGTTTAGTGCGCGTTCATCTAACGTGCATCAAAGAGAATCAAGTATCGGCGGAGATGAAAAGAGTCGACTGTTTGACGAGTCGGACAGCGGGAGTGAGACGACGCCTCAAGTGCTAGCCGAGAGGTGTTTCCGAGAACTGTTCCAGCGAGTGAAGTTCGGCAGCACCCAACTCACCCAAGTCTTCTACCCCATGTTGAATTACTTGGACGAGAACGGATGGGAGAACAGTAGATTTGTGGCCAAGTGTATATCATTGGTAATGTCTTCAATCAGTGTGAGTCGAGATACAATTTACACGCAATTACATCACAAACGAGATCAATTAAAGAGTTTAGCAATTTTAAATAATGAAAAGACGAGGTTTTGTTTGAAAGCAAAGAACATTTTTTGAACTAAAAGATGACGAGTGCTTTGTTTTAGCCACAGTACGCGTTTGACGCCATCACTCTATGGTTAAACCACATCTCTGAAAAGAAACATGAGCGCGCAATTGAGTTCCCCAAGATAGAAATTGTGCAGCAACTGAAAGACTCTGTCAATATTGCAGCTTCACAAACCTTTGGAACCTCAATCTACGAAGTAAGCACTTCTTCAATAATAAACAGTTACATCTTCTTTAAGTTTTAATAAACGAAGTTCTTAATTTTTCGGAAAACGCTCAGTTTTATTTTATGGTTGTTGCAGTTAAGGTTATTCTCTCCAACGCAACAAAGCATGAAATAGTTCTGGTTTCAACCTTGGATTTAAAGCTTGTGAATAACAAGCGAAAAACAAAAAAATACCTTTTTTTTACATTTTCAATTCAACATGCGCACGTTTAGTTTATTTATTGGAGTCGAAATTGGCTTAGCGGAGAAAAAAACTTTTTTGCTATTTTAGCGATTGCGTACAATATTCGCGCCCGTTTACTTGTTTAACAATTTTGAATGCTTATTTCACGGCGGTGATTATGTTTCTTTGACATGTTTTCCTCAAATTGAACATCATTCAAGACAAATTGACGTTATTGTAGAATAAGTTCTTTTCGATTTTTTTTAAATTTCAATTGAGTGGCTTCGGTGTCATTAACTGTCTGCTACATACAAAAATACGTTTTGTTATATCGCAAGTGTTGCAAAGCTCGGCTGAAGCTAGAAGCTAGAATGTTTACATAGTATGTTTATTAAAGCCGAAATTGGCTTGGGAGAGAAAATAATATTACTTTTTTATTTGGTAGTTTTATCGCGATTGCGTTAAGTATTATTCACGCACAACTTTGTAGTTCACTGTTTACGCTTGATTTTATTTTTTTTTGCGGTGTTAAAGCTTTTTTACGCTGGCGAAGCGAGTGTATTAGTACGAACTTTCTTTTTTTCCAACCTAAGTCGCAAATATTGGTGCCACTTTTGGGGCACCTTTACAGCTTTTTCATAACATGTGATTTGACATTCGAATAGTAATAAATTAACTCAGTTGATGCATTTTTAATTCATCAAATGAACCGAAAAAATGATTTGTTTCAAAAACAACATAACAGTAATGATAACTCGATTTCAGAAATTTTCTAATTCAAGATATCTCGCAATTTTTTGAAATGAATAACTTATACATAATGTGGTTTTGGGCTTTGCGGCTATTTGTTGCATGCAAAGTTAGTGTGGATGCCCTCAGTTTTTTATATTCCAAATTTTTACTTGCGAAATTGAGTCTTTATATTTGGTGCCACTTTTGCTCAATGGCATTCGCAATTTACTAGCATATGTAGCTGCTTTATTCCTGACTAGTGTTTGTCGGTTGTTAAGCTTGCGTGGCTGAGTGGATAGTGCGTGAGACTCAAAATCCTCGATTGCAGTAGGTCGCGGATTTGAGTCCGACTCGAAGCCGAGTTTTTAATAATTCGAGGCTTATTTCTACTTTTTTATTTCACTTGTAGAGCTGTTTTTGACCGTGTTCTCGCAAGTGTTTGCAAAGCGCAGCTTCGCCTCTGTCTGCGTGTTATTTTTGTATGTTTAACGAATTTTTTCACGGTTTATGGTGGATCTTATATTGCATTGCTTAGGAATTTTTTCGATTTTCCAATTTGAATTTAGTGTTTCCTGTCAAGTCTGAAATTAACTCAAAAGTGGAATGCTGTCAGGGTTACCCTTTTACTCCAGGGGTTGCAAATTAGTCCAAATATGAATACCAAAATCTTTTTTTAAACTTTTAGATTTGAAGATTCTTGTGACCTTTCGAAAGTTTTGTGAAATTCAAGATAGAAAAAATTCCACATAAATTGAAATTCTCAACCCTGCAGTTTTGTGCTGTCAGGGTACTCTCATGGGTTGCAAATCTTGTCTCAAAAATTGACTGCTCAACTCATTTTAGTTTCCAAGATATGACGTTTTTATGATTTTCAAAAATTCAAATAACTTAGATATAAAATTTTAAATTTGAAATTCTCAACTCTGTAGTGTGAGGTACTGTCTGTGACGGCTGCCATGCCTTTGTGTTAGACTTTGCTAGTCTATTTGGACATTGAGTTATTTGACTGAATTGCACTTAAGGTGTCAAGGTTGTTGCATGGCTCCCAACCAGGACAATGTGCTAAACTAAATTTAATACTCTCTGATGCTTGCTGAAAGATTGCAGTAAAATCTTTATTTCTTGAACTTGTAACCAATTCATGTCAACTGAATTTCGAATTGAATGAAAACTTTTCAAAATTTGAAATTTCAAACCCTACAGTGAGTTATTCTCTGGGTACTCTCAGAGGTTGCAGATCTAGCTTCAAAGTTTGATTGCACAAATAATCTTATTTTCTGAGATATGCAGTTTTTTATGCTTTTGGCGCTCTCAAGGTTTTCGTAGGATGTTTTTCTAGATTCCAAGTATGACTGCTCAACGCCTTTTGTTTTCTTAGTTGTGACGTTTCTATCTTCGTCTGAAAATTTTCAATAATGTTTGTTTTCAAATAAACGCTTTTACAATTTTGAATTTTGACGCTTTGGTGGGGGTGATATCAGCGGACCCTTTGATGACTGCCAGCGAATGCATATGTTGTCTCTCATCCTGGTATAATTGCTCAAATTTTTTCATTATTTTCAATATTCATGAAAGAAAAAAATCTGATATTTTTAATCAATTACGATGATTATAAATCCCATTTATGAATTTGATGGTTTTGCAGTTGATTGTTTCGTTTTCTTAAGTATTGAAAGTGCAGTTGTATGCTGGCTGTTTTAGGGTTTCGTTTCCGAAGATATGAAACTCAGTAGTTATGGAGGTTGAACGTTCAAGTCATTTTTTATGGTTCATGAAAACAAAAGTTTTGTTGGATTCCCTGTCTTTTCGGTTACATTCATTTCGTTGATTTTTTTTCCATTTTTAATGTATAAACAGCTTTCTTGTTCACTCATATTTTTGAAGCACCGGAGGTGCGCTTTACGCTAGTTTTTTTTGTAGCTTAATTCTAACTCAGCTGAGAGAAAGGGAAATTACGCTCTCCTACTAAAAACACTTAAAGAAACGTGAATGATTTTCAGTTTCAAACGAGGATTTCAAATTTCAGACTCCAACTACCCGCCAAATATAAAGTTACGAATTGACCAAGTTTGCCTTAACTGGGCTAGTTTTATGAAAAAAGTGTCCATCCTAAAACCTTGTAATTGAAAGAGCTTTAACAGATGTATATTTTTTTCAGAACACTGAGTTTTGTTGTATATGGGGGGATGTAATGAGAAATAGCAAGTTCGCCTTTCTCATGGTTCGGATTTCTCATAGCAAAGAACAAGTATGTTGTTGTCTTAGGTGATAGATAAACTGGTTCAGTATCTGAAGCTATCAATCGAAAGCGAGACGAAGCTAAAGCGGGAGTCATCCAAGCATATCAGCCAGAAAATCGAGATTGCAGCTGATGCCAAAGCCGAAGTGAGTGGATCCAACATCAAGACTGAACAATTGTACCAGGAAGCGTTGATTGATGTTATGGGAAATATAACAGTGAATGTGGCAGATTACCAGAAACTGGAGATCATCAAGTTCCTCTTTGAAAAGTGTCCAGGAAGACCAGGAGTGGTAGCAGGTGTCAATACAGTTCCTGGGACTCCTTATAGACAAGCGAAGTCCTCGAACAACTCACATGCTTCCGAGGAGACCACTTCAGTTCTGTCGGAGACTGAGCGAAGGATGCAGAACTACTTGCTCAAGTGCATCGAGAGCGTAGCGTTGCTCTACACTACTATCAACTATTCGGATACGTTCAAAGCTGGAATCATCACTCCACTTATACAGGTGGGTTTGGAAATCTGTTTTAGCAAAGCTTACATGAAATTCATTAAATCGGTAAAATTTTTTGGTTTGTATTGAAATATGTTTCAAGAAATATACGAGAAAGAGAGTATCTGTATTGCTATATGATTGTTTGCAGTTCCAAAACTGCTTGCAGACGGAACTAGTATATAACTTAAGGAAAGTAAAACTAATTATTCTATCAGTTAATGATTACCTTGAATACTCCATATTACGTGAAAAGATAATGCAAAACTGCGATTTTTGAACGTAGTCAAATTGTATTTATTTAGTTGAGTGTGAGTCCCGATCATGACGTACGTATTCTGGTTCTGGGAATCATTCAAAGACTTCTTGACCGCCATGACAACCGAGAAAAGGTCATGAAGATGGACCTCCTTCCATGACAACCGAGAAAAGGTCATGAAGATGGACCTCCTTCCGGACTTGGAGAACATCCGGAGCAAGGGGTTCCGATCTCCCAAGAACAGATCGGACCAGAACTTCATGAGTGGAACTGGCCATTCGTTTTTCCATGCCATTTACTGCAACTGCTTCAGTGAGTCAAACTCACGAGAGAACTACGATGCCATCTATTGTACTCTGGCGCTCCTCATCGTCGAAGTGGGGTACGATGAGAATACTCTGCTTGAGATCTTCAAACTGCTCCTGGCGATCCAAGAGGAAATCAGAGACAGAACCAGTGGTGCTATCAAAGGCAGTCATGTCCATTATGAATTTTTATTAGCAATTAGTTCAATAAATTGGTTCAAAAATGGTTAGCTTAAATGTTGGTACCAGAGTTTTTTTTGTTGTTTTTCGTGTTTTTGTTGGTTTTTTTTTGCGTAAAAGCTTAATTCTTCAAACAAATTTGGTCTTAATGTTTTTATTGATTAAACTAGTAGCTTGCGAGCGTTAGTGTATTTGTACAAACCTTTTTTTTCTAAACTCGCAAATAAAATTGTTCATTAAAAGTATGCATTTATTTGGTCGTACTTTTGCTATAATCACGATCTGTAGCATTGGAAATTTCATATCTATTCTGTTTTTTTTTTGTGGCGAATGTTTGTGATTTTTTATTAGGAGTCCGTGGTTGAGTTGTAAGTGTGTGAGACTCATTATCTCTAGGTTGGAGATCGAATCCGAGACGTAGACGAATTTTTACTAAATCGAGACTTATTTCTATCTTTTTTATTGCACTCTATAGAGCTGCTTTTTTTCGTGTTCCCGCAAGTGTTTGCGAAGCGCAGCGTCGCCTCTGTGTTAGTTGTTGGAACACTGTAGAACTTTTCTAACTGGACATGGTTGATCAAAGGTTCTTTGACTACTTTGGAAGAGAAGAGCCAACAGCTGACGTTCCAAACGGACCACCCGAAAGGGACTTTGACAGACGAGCAAGGCATGTTTTTGAATGCGTTTGTAGCTTGTATCTTCAACTTGATTGCCAAACTGTTCGGACATACGTACAAAAATCTGGACGAATATATCTCGGGGGTGCTGTATTACATGTCGGTGCACAACAAGCCACTAATGGAAGCTCAAACTGCTGCAAAGCTCAAGTGAGTTGAATGCTATTTTATTGAATACGGATTTTCTTAAACGAAAGTTAGTATAAAAGTCAGGAAGTTCTTAATTTTCGAATTGGATTTGTTTTCATGGTTACTCAAGCGGAGCTTTGTATATGCTACACAGTCAAATTTTTTCCAATGCCAGTCAAGTCTATTATTTAATTGCGCGCTTTTTTATTGCGGGTTGCTTAGATTTTATCGGCTCCATTGAAATAATTAAATTTCTGTTAGAACTAACAAGCAAGGTTGAATCTTTAGTCCGAGGTATCGTGTCTAGACAGTGTCGGTTGTTTTTGTTGCCCAAAATTGTATTTTCATTTGCATATGCGAAGTGCAAGTTTGCTTCTGTTTCATCTGGTAAGACAGGTTAATCATTTTTTATTTAGCTACCAACTCAATTATTCGTTGGCGTGTGATAATGCTCTGGCTTACAGGTGACCACTATCATTATCAACAGGCTAACGATCACAAAGAAATGACTTTCAGTAACCGAAACAATACCAGCTGTGCTTTAAAATTGAACACAGTCTTTGGTGTCACCGTCGTACTGTTTTCATTATTTTGAGTTAGTTCGGAAGTAAAGAACGATTGATGGTAAATGTTGCGTTTTAGGATCATAGCCAAACAACCAGAATTGTCATACATGGATCAAGAGAGAGCACGGTCCAAGAGCAATTTGACCGAGTACAACTTCCAAGAAAACGAGCTGGAAAGTTCTCTCAGCAAAGATGGCTTCAGTGCTAACTTCACCAAATTTGTACCAAAGAACAAAGGTTAGATAGACGGTTTCCAAGTTCTAAGACATTCCTGGTCATATTTTGGAGAAATTCGTTTTTAATTCAATTCTCCTGAACTTATATTCAAGGAACATTTGCAATTTCAAGAATTTGTGTCAGTCTTTTTAACAAATACAATCACAGACGTTGAAAACAAAAGAGAAAGGATGCTAAATGCAATTTGATCCCATTTGAAATTGATTGTTAGCCTTTCAAGAACGTTGCTTTTTTCACTTTTACATTCGGTCCACCATAATAACAAAACCGCTAGAAATGGTGTTTTTGTTTTGTGTTTCGAAATGAACATTTTTCCTGACTTACGTTTTTTTGACATTTTTCAGTTTTTATGCGCTTATTTTATTGACATATCATTATGGCAGGAAGAGATGTTATAATTAAACCAGGATATTCTGAAGAATTGCTGTTAGACCTACACGCCAAATACATCCTCAAATATGGGGAAACTGAAGATGATTTTGAGTTCGCAGTAACCGATTTTCTCAGAATTAGCGGGGTTTATTGGTGTGTAACTGCTATGGACATCATGGGCCAACTGGATGCCATGAATGAAGATGTGATCATCAAATTTGTCATGGACTGTTTTGACGAGTCAACTGGAGGCTTTCGGCCATGTTATGGCCATGACCCAAGTTTGCTTTATACACTAAGTGCGGTGCAGGTTCTGACAACGTTTAACAAGCTTGATGTGTTAGATTCTCAGAAGGTTGTGGATTATGTGAAGAGTCTCTATCAGTCTGACGGAAGTTTCCTCGGTGATAAATGGGGCGAAGTTGATACTCGCTTCTCGTTTGGAGCAGTTGCGATCTTATTTTTACTGAAACAACTGGACGCTATTGACTGGACCAAAGCTACTGAGTTTGTTCTGAAATGCATGAATTTCGACGGAGGTTTTGGAACAAGGCCCGGATCTGAAAGTCATTCCGGTCAGATATACTGCTGTGTTGGCTACTTGACTTTAACTGGCAATTTGCATCATGTCGAAGTTGATAACCTATCGTGGTGGCTAGCTGAACGTCAATTACCACAATCCGGAGGCCTTAACGGTCGTCCAGAAAAACTCCCAGATGTCTGCTACTCTTGGTGGGTTATAGCCAGTTTGGCTATGCTGAAACGGGTTAACTGGATCGATGCCAAAAGGTTGTCAGGGTTCATTCTAGCGTCGCAGGATTCGGAAACGGGAGGCATTGCAGATAGACCTGGAGATGTCGCGGATCCGTTTCACACTCTGTTTGGCCTCGCAGGAATGTCATTAGTGGGAGCTGATAGTAGATTAAAAAGTGTGAATCCATGTTTATGCATGACTGAAGATGTCTTGAGGAAACAGGGATTGGAAATTAAATATCTTCCATTTTGATATAATTTATCTATAGTGTATTGCGCTTGTCTATAAATTTAATGTAATTTATAATTTCTTCCTAGATTTTTGAGCCAACCTCTATTTTCATTGTGAGAGGCTGCTAATATTTCAATAAAAGAAGAAATATAATCTAAATTAAAGAAGAAAATGAAATTGTTTCGAAGGAATATATCTTTCATTTTGAAATCTGCAAAATGATGATTGCTATTGCTGCAATAGTGGTACCACTTCAAAATCTTGACGCAAAAAACGGCCTTAATTCGCAACAAAAAATAAATGGGTAGTGTAGGGAAAGAGAACTAACGGACGATCTTTAGTAAAGCCAGTTAAGGTCTGCTGATGGCTCTTATGTGAATTGCCGATGTCACAATTGTTGTGTTTAGTGGACTTGTTGAGACGCAACAGTATGGACGCTGCCAATATCAGTATGGGCAACACACACAGAGGAAGCATAGTGGGAGAGGTGAACTTGGAGTTGGACTCTGACGCAGGATCCATTACATCTCTTCCCAGGGGGGTAGCGGGGGGCAACTTTGGCTCGGAAGTGAGCGACATACTCGACATCCAGAAGATCAAAATCATCCTGAGTACGTTGAAATTTTGTCGCAATCAAAAAATATAATGTTTATTTTCGTAAAGATGAATATTACGGTGTAAATTAGTAGATAATATCAGTATAAACCTCAAATTTCAGTTTAAAATGATTATTTTTAAGAAACAAACATCATGAAGCATTATATAATGGTTGTATATCGCGAAAACCATATTAAACCATTATTTTGTTTAAGAAGCAAATGATCAATTCAAATTTTTTTTAAATTGTAAACAATCTGCTAACTCCCATTTTGATAGTTCTGCTGGTCTTGAAAGTAGATCAAATGGTCTCAATTTTAAAACTGGTTTGTCAGATGGTGAATGTTTATTTAGATGAGGGTCTGAGTTGGGAAGAGAAGGCGGAGGAAGACAGCAAGCGAAGGCAGTTCAAACAGGACTACGCAGAGCGACCCATCAGAGAACTGGCAGAAAACATGGCCAAAGAGGTAATCTAGAGCAGGGGCCGATCCATGATATTCTCAAGAGGAGGGGGGGGGGGGGGGGGGGGGGGGGGATAGCGGATTTTCAAAAGTTTGCCGACCTTTTTTTTGGTCGACCAAATTTTTCGGGCATATTTTTTGGTCCGCAGTCAAGTTTTTGAAGAAAAAAGTTAAAAGGGCTGTTTTTGGGCACTTTTTTGGAAAATGTTGATAAAAAAATTGTGTTTTTTGCGGCGCGCGCTCTCCTTCAAAAGTAGAACAATTGGCGCGGAAGGTTCTTTAGAAAATTTTTTGGGTTGGTCTGCCGAAAATGAATACAATGAAATAATACCAAATTTTAATCTATCGTCCCCATCATATTTCACTTTTTAAAAAGTAATGAGTAGTCTAAATAGGTCTTGGTGATTTTTATTTGGTTTTTTTTTTCAGGAAAAAGTCTTAAAATTTGTTCACGCTGATTTTCGCCTTTTCGCGGTTTGACTTGTGATTTGTTTTTAAGTTCAGTACATTTCCATTGTTAAAAGAAAGGCGAACTTCACTATCGAACAGCGAAAGTGGCAAAAGTGTAAAGGTCACGAAAAACGTGATCGACTTCTAGTTTAGAAAGTGGAATTTAAATATCAGATTTTGAAGTTTTTCGAAGAAACAAGTCAGTTTTCTTTCTGTTTCCTTGCGTTCATAACTCTTTTGAAGCAGTCAGTCGGCTATGTTTTAGAATCGGGAGCGAATCAACAAAAGGAAAGAAATCAGGGACAAAATCGACTTCTACAGCCAGCCGAGACGGTCATCCAATTTCCCTCTGGACGCCCTGGACAAAAGTGTCAAGTTCAACCAGCCGAGTGCTGACCAAGCAGACGCCACTGCAGGAAAAGCACACGGATTCTCATCCTCAACAGCTGAAGACATTCAGTTCCCACAGGGATTCCTAATTTAATCGGAGAACAAGAATGTTCACAGCAGCGACAGTCGCATGTCATAAGTTTGGATCCGAGCTTATGTTATAAAATCATCATTTCTCATGAGTGCTTAGTTTTTATTTAACAAAGTATAGTTTCAAAAACTTGGTATCTATATTAAGAAGTGAAAATTTTTGGCTAGGTTTTGTTGCAGCTAAATTTTTGTCAGCTGTGTGGAAGATTTTTCTACATTTTTTAAGAGAAAAATAAGAAATTTAAGATGCGTTTCACTTCTTAATTTTAAATGTTCTTAATGTCTGTGGTCGTCACTTAACCTACATGTATTGTCTTCCTCTGCCCTCTATAATACTAATGTAGAAATTTATTTTTATAGCTAGTAAATATTCAGAATAGCTGGTTTGTTTAATGGAAGTTTATAAAAGATTCAGCACTGTGCTAGTTTTTGCTGAATGTATGATATTGATGTTGCGTTGCTGTTGAAAATGTATAATATTCTTGCTGTACAATCTCTTAAAATTAGGAATCATAATTTTAAAAGACATGTTTAAATCATGTTTTCAATTCAAAGGTCATAGTTAATGAGGCCTCAAAGCCTTTTAGTCGTGTTCCAGGTGACCGGCAAATAAGACGACAGCCGTTAAGACGACAATCGTTTTTGATGGAACTTGAAGACGACGCTACACGCGATTCTCCACGTTGTATTTTTGAGAAATTTAAACAGCTTAAAATCAAACTTCTCATTTTAGATCTAATAACGCTTAGTTGTCGTCTTATGTCTTGTCGTCTTAATGGCCTGTCATCGTATTTACCTAGCTCCGTGTTTCGGAATTCCAATAAAAACCTCAAAAATTTCATGGTGTTGAGTAAAAGCGCTTAGACTATTTACAGTTTTTCGACACCTTTACCAAAGAACAGTTTAATCTGGGCATATCAAAAAAAGGTATCAAGTTTTTGAGAAACAAAATGTTTAAAGTTGGTTATATAATTACTTGCTATGAAGAAGCTGTCGCAACAGTTTGTGTTGCTTAAGATAGAGTATGTGTTCATTGGAAATTTTCCAATTGTCTGGTTGTTTTTTGTTCTTCACTACTTTCAATTTCAATTGCTAGATAGAAAGCAAATTGGGCTCCCCGATAAAAAAAGCTCCAACTGCGCAAAAATACGCCAATTCTTCGAGTTTTGAAGTGATTTTTTACACAAGCAAAGCTTGTGTTATAGTATGCACTCTCTTTTTTCCAACTTAAATAGCAAATATTGTTGCGACAAAATGTGTTCATTTTAAAAGTGTTCATTTTGATCAATAATCAGCTTTTAAGTATAGCCAATGCTAAGGATATTAACACAGACTATTATATTAAAGATAGCATTTAGCCACAAAGTATCATGGATCTGTAGCGTAGAGGTAGGGAAGGAGACCCGCAACAAAATAAGAGGGTTCGAATTTGTGTAAAAGTCTATGAATGTGGCGAATACTGACTTCTTCTTTCAGTTTTTCGCGGTTTGAATTTAGATTTCTTTTTACGTTCATTTCCTTTGCTAAAAGGAAGGCAAATATTACTATCGAACGGTAAGAGTGTAAAGGTTATGAAAAACGGGATCGACATCTAATTTCAAAGGCCCATTTTAATGTTTCCATGTTTTGATGTGTTGATCGTTTTATGGACTTTTATCGATAAGTATCTTGCAAAAACTGCAAAAAGTGAAATCAAAAAATATCTTGAGCTGACCTTCAAATTCGGTTTCCAAATTGAGCTCAAATTGAATCTATATTTTAGATGGACCAGTGAAATCAAAAAATATCTTGAGGGTATTCTTAATTCGAATTGATATTCCCAGCCAAATAAAAGATGCCGTTGAGCCGTTTATAAAAAAATAATAATTCTTTTTTTCAAAAAAATAGAGAGCTCCAGGGGCGTATCTAGGATTTTGTCAAGGGAGGGCAGATTTTCTTCGAAGGTTTCGAAAAAAGACTTTTTTGATATTGGTATTAAATTGATTTTCTGAGCTCTCGCAGAAAACTAAAAAGAACCTATTTTGACCAAATTTTCTGCGCCGCTGACACTTTTTTTGAAGAAAAAACAGGTCAATAATGCCGTTTTGGGACTTTTTGTGGATGTTTGTGAACAAAACTTGCATGTTTATTGCGCGCTCCCCTTCAAAGTTAATTACACTAGTTTTCATCCTGAAGTTCGAGTTACAGACATTTTTTAAAAAGTTATTGCCCTCGAAAAAGTAAAGTTTTTGATGTGTTGATCGTTTTATGGACTTTTATCGATAAGTATCTTGCAAAAACTGATATCATACTTTAAGTCGAAAAACAGATTGATGAAAGTCTACCTTCATAATTAGTTACGTCCTTCTTTAAGAAAACTTACAAAAGCACGCGTCTTGTTATCGGGGACTAGACGTTTTTTCACGGTTACTTGCTTTAATATTAAATCTTAAATTCCAGGTTCTAATCGCGGCCGGAATTTTTTTTTTTTCAGTAATTGTACATGAAAAAAATATTTCCGGTAAAAGTTGATTTGTCGGACTTTCGTTTAACTGCTCAATTTTTGTCATCTTAATTGGCAGATCACGGATGTTTCTTGTGCTTAATCAGGTATCATAGTATAATGTTCATTGTAATTTCAGGGGACTTGAAATTTTTCAAGTTTTTTTTTATAAAATATTTTTTTTTCGGCTTAACTTGTATCTGCTCAAAGATTTTCGGCTTTGTTTCCGCATCGTCAGTTTTGTTGTTATTCTTATTTAAAATTCAAATTTCTTAGAATGTTTGCCTAGAATTCCTATTTGACAAATACAGGTGTTATGAAGATGCATGGAATTGGCTTTGAAAAGTTTGTTTTTAAAAAAGTTAACTGCAAAAAACTACCAATTACCAATTTTCAAGAAAAATTAAAAGACTGCCTACTCCTATGTGTGTCTGCATAATAGAGAAAAATAGTTGACCCATGTTTTTGACTTCATTAGTTTCCTCAAAAACTCCCCTACCAAATCTGAGATTTTGGGTTCAACCAATCGAACGGGTGTTGGAAAGCTTCTTGAATCTCTTTGACTTTTCTCAAAAATGAACGTACCAAATCTGAGATCATGTGTTTCATGGAAAAAATTGGTAGTGGGAAGCTTCCCTGCATTAGCGGCTACAGACATTTTTTAAAAAGTTATCGCCCTCGGAAAAGCCAAATTGTTGATGTGTTGGCCGAAAAAAAAAACAGTTGATGAAAGTCCACCTTTTTTACGCCCCTTTTTTAAGCAAAAGTATGTGCTCCAAAATTTTGAAACTTTTGACTTTACTCGAAAACTATCGTGCCAATTCTGAGGTTGTGTTGATTCGAGAAACCCGGTTTTTGGAACTTTCTTTACTTAAGCGCCCACGACTTGCTGTTTGCAGAAAAAACTTTTGAATTTCGGAAATTGAAATTGTTGAAACATTACCATTTTCTAGAAAATGTTGAAAGTGGTGCGAAACCCCGCTTCTTTTCTATGTATGTATTGGCGCCTTTAGCGAAATTTTAGGGTTGTGGCCAAAAATGAATGGCATAAAATATACCAAAGGGGGACCCTTGGTTGGTGAGGTTGAATCCCCAAGGAGATAAAAAAGCGGCAAATCCCACCCCCCTCTAAATCCGCCCCTTGGGAGCTCTATGGTCTTAGAATATGTTCCATGAAATTTGAAACTTGGTTAAACGATTTAAAAAAGGATGTTTTCTTTTTTTTTTAACAGCCTTCCTTCTGTCTGTTGCCCTGTACTTTCTTTCTCTTTCAGAAGTCTGATTTTGATCATACTCAATTTTCACCGAGGCTGGTTAAGCAATGAAGTTAACTTTTCAACTTTTTTTGCAACCGTAGCTCAAATTACGCTCTACAGTTTCATCGTTCGAACATGAGTTGATTGCAACAGATTCAAGGTTACCACCAAGGTCAAATCTGTTGTTATCATAGTCCAATCTCACAAGCGTGTAATCTAACTAAGATTGGACTATGAGGTTCTGAGGATAGATGGAGCAATTTTAAAAGCATGTGACTTATAGTTCGAGGTTTGAATCCTTATGGGAGATATTTTCTTCCAAGCCTGTTTTTGTGCCTTTTATATCAGTTTTTTTTGTATGCGCGTGTTTAACAGGAAGAGCATTCGTCTTTGAGTATATTTTTTGAATATTTTCAGAGTTTGACTTGACTATCCACACGAAGCCTTACAATGAACAGACTTTTTGGAAAAGGTAAGAAAAAGAAACAATAGAATATTGGACCAACGTAACAATCTCGCACTTCAAAAAAAAGGGAAGGAAAATCTTCAGTAGAGAATTCAGCTGCATGAGCAGAATTTTTGACCAAGCAGAACGCGGGAAAACCGAAAATTTTTAATTGAAAGTTTGCAACAGCTTTTGTATAATAATACGAATAATTTTACGGTCTTATTTGGACAACTATAAATACTGTCTACATTTAGGAGAAATCTCTCCTAAATGTAGACAGTATTTATAGTTGTCCAAATAAGACAGTAAAATAATTCTTATTATACAAAAGCTGTTGCCCTTCAGTAGATACCATAGGTAGGAAATCGTTGAGTGGATCCAAGTAATTTGATTACGTTATCAGGTAATTGGTGTTCACATGTTTATCAAAACCAGTATACGTTTCGTGTTTGAGTTCATTGAAACTACAAGAATTGAAATAATACCGAATTTAGCCCAAACTTCAACGACAACTGAAACTGCGTCGACAAGTAATAACACCTACCCTGTCTCAAATGCAGTAACCAAGCAAACACCAGCAGCCAAAAAACTCTTCAAAAGTACCCTACAATACTGTAGCGAATCTTACCTTATGATCTATCAATGATTAGTCTGATCTAAAGTTTTGGCCAAAACAAATCTGATATCTGGTCTTATGATTTAATTAGCTGGTCTTAAAGACAACCAAAAAACGGACTTCGTTAACTACTCCCTATTTTGTTTTTCTCAAAACCAACACTAATTGTCTTGATTTGACAGATTTTCAAAGTTTTTTTGATATAGAAATCATAATATACTAATGGGAACAGAAAAATCGTACTTATTCTGTCCATACTTGTACAGGGTTCTGTAAACTAGGTTACAAAGGGAGTGGGTGGGGGGTGCTAGTTAACAAGATCCCGGACATCAAATGAATCTAAATAGAGATTCTGGAATAGTTTTGTTTTAATTTTAGGAAACAAGGCGCCGCCTCCCTCGCTGGATGACTGCATTCAGAAGGTGGACACCAGAGCGGACACAGTGGACAAGAGGATTGCGAAGATAGACGCCGAACTGAAGAAGTACAAGGACCAGATGAGCAAAATGAGAGAGGGGCCCGCCAAGGTCACACCAAAACCATTACTCTGTTCTCAGAGAAAAGGATAGAGGCGGAGAAATAAGCAGAATGGTCTGCGAGCAGAAAGGGTCCAAGAGCAGAAAATCCGAAAAATAATAATTTTTATTAGCTAACCGGTCAAGTAAATTTTAGAATTATCAACCAAAAAACTCTACAAAAAACACTTGATGAATTTACTCAATTCATGTATTATATATTCATTGCATTGGTACTTTTGAAGATTGTAATACTTGTTTTTATCGATTAGCCCGTATAGTTCAAATACTTGTCTGTTTTCTGCTCTTAGACCATTCTGCTCATTGACCGGCAACCGAAAAGAATATAGAAACAACTACGCTTAATTGTTTAAATCAGAGTCTTTTTGTTTCGAAAGAAAGCAGATTAAGGCAAATCTAAGAGGGCTTCTCAAATTCTTCTTATGATTTTCAGTCTGCGTTTTAATGATGTTATGAAACGAAACAGATAAATTTTTAGTGGTTTGAAAATTTGACTTAATGAGTTTCCTAAATGAAATAGAACGAAAGGAGCGATTGGGCGGTGATACCTCGAACTTCCAGGGGTTGTTATATAATCTCGGATGCAGCTTGACGTTTCTAGAAATTCGTTACAGTTAAAATTGTTCAATTTTCAGGACAGTAACTTAACTTGGAAGTTGAAAACACCACACATATTTTTGGCTGAATTTTGAATCGTTTGTGTTGTTTCAGAATGCGGTGAAACAGAAGGCGATGCGGCTGTTGAAACAGAAGAAGCAGTACGAGAACCAGTCGGATGGACTGCGCAATCAGGCATTCAACATGGAACAGACCAACTACACCACGCAGAACCTAAAGGCTAGTAAAGAACACAGTTCGTCGTCTGTTGCGAGTCAATGATTAATGGTCAAATAATCACACGAATCACACAAAAATACAGAACATAGTTAGTGATCTGTTATAATTTTAAAGCAGTATCCGATCCGGAAAACAGGTGGATGAATTCAGGTACAGGTCAAAAAACTGTTGTTCTGAACTTTGAAAGTGGGGAGGAACCTTGTATTCGGGAGCATTTTAGTTTTTAAGAGTAATGAACGTAGTGAAGACTCTTAGATATGTCTTGGCGATTTTTTGTTTTTTTTCAGGAAAAGTTATGAAATTTGTTCAAACCCTATTAAAATATTTCAAAAAATTCCTCATTGCAGAAAAAACCAAACTCCTTTGTCTAATTTCGAGCAAACAAAGTGAGCAAGCAGGTCTACAGAAATAAGACAAAAAAGTTTAGTTTTACTTCACGAATTTTAGTTTGTGAAGCTTCTTTCAGCGCTTTCTTGACACAAAAAATTGCTTTGAAAAAGTCTGCAAAAAAGTAAAAAAAAAAATAGAGTAAATATATTTGAAAAATATAATGAATGAGATGGTACAGAAATCAGCCGAGAATTCAACACGGGTTCTCTGTTGAGATGTTTTCTTTTAAGAAAGCGGTTGCAATATTCACAAATTTAGTTTTATCCAACAATAAATATAGCTTTTTCCTCATGCGAGAGAGCAAGTGACTTGTAATCGGGGACTTTTTTCCTGTAAACATCTTTTCTTAAACTTTCGGCCGACATGATCATCTCTGACCTGTTCAAATGTCGACATGCCAAATTTCTTGAAAATTCAAATAAAACTATTTTATTTCATATGGGGTAGTGAATAATTTTTTTAAATGGAAATATGTTGATTTTTTTGGATTTGTGGTTTTCGTCGTAATTTCTGTCAGCTGATTTTCAAATGCAACTTACATTATCTGGTAAAGTTTTCAAGTGGCTCTTTTTCAAAGCTGAGGTGTTCAAATTTTTCTATCAGTTTTTAGTAAAATTGAATGTTGCTCTGTAGTTTGTAAATTTACCAACTCTGATATTTAATAACTTACCAACTCTGATATTTTTTTCGATTAAACGGGGTTGGCGTATGTTATATTGACTTAATTAGCTTATGTTGCTCAGTTTCAAGAGCGAATTGTTTTGAATGATTTTGTCTGTTTCAGGAGGGTGGGTCGTAAAAGTTAATAGCTTGTATGTTTTTAATGTCTACAGTTTCGTTTTCGGCTTATCGAGACTCGACCCAAGTTTTTTGGACTTAGTTTGACTCCTAATGCTTGTCATTGACTCTCAATGCTTGTTAAAGCTGATTGCGAACGAACATCATCCGCGACAAAGCTATGAATTTTTTGTAGATCGAGTTTTTCGGGATTGTTTTTCATGTTATTTTTTTGAAGCAAGAAAGACTTCTTTTTATCTATTCATCTTGTAATGCAATGTTTAAATTGTATCGCTAGTCAACTTATGTTGCGCAATTTCTATGGCGATTTTTTTAAATGCACTGGCCTGTTTCATGAGGGTTGAGTCGTAAAAAAATTGTACTTGAAAATTTAAAGCTTGAATTTTTTATGTCAACAGTTTCGTTTTCGGCTTAACGAGCTTGACCCAAGTTTTTCGACTTAGTTGCCGCTCTGTCCGTGATTCTCATTACTTATTCGGGCTGTTTACCAACATCGTTCGAGACAAAGGTATGAAATTTTTATCGAGGTTTCTGGACTTTTTCAAGTTATTTTTCAGCTTAATTTTTTTTACAAAAAAAAAACAAAAACACTTCCTTCTTTCTTTTCAAGACTTTGTAATGCAATGTTTTAATTGTATCGCAAGTGTTGCGAAGGTCTGCTTCGCCTCTGTGTAATTGGTTGTATTCATCATCGTCACCAGTGTTCTGATGTATCCACCTTCTCGTACTGGAACTGACTGGTTGTTGAGATCTTTGGCCCAAGCTGTGTCTGGTGGTTGAAATGTTGTTCCGTAATACAGTTGGAGTTTTTCATTTTTTCTACAATCTTTCATATTTTAGTATGAGTTCCAAATAGATGATCTTGTTTTATATATGTTGGATATTCGTTTTGGATATGTTTTAAATATTGATTGCGAAGTTAGATGCTTATTCGTGTGTGTAATGTGTGAGCGTGTATTTGTATGTGTGTGTAGGACACACAGGCCACAGTGGCGGCCATGAAGTCTGGTCTGAAGGAGATGAAGAAGGAGTACAAGAAGGTGAACATCGACAAGATAGAAGACATGCAGGACGACCTGGAGGACATGATGGAACAGGCCAATGACATACAGGAGGTACGTCACCAACAAGTTCAATCAAGTTCAAACTCCGGAGAATAAGTTCAAACTCCGGAAAATAAGTTCAAACTTCGGAGAAAAATTTGTAGTGAAGTTCAACTTTCAGGCAAAACCCCTCATGACAGGAGGAACGAACATCACATTTTTCTGATTTTCTCAAAGAAAACAAGAAACTTCACATTCGTAGTTTTTGGGCACTTCAAAGAATATTGATTAATTTAAGTTTTCTGCCATTAGACGCATCTGTCAAGTGAATAGTCCCCAAAAGTTCCACTAAAGCTTATTAACTAGGTTTTAGCTGATATAGATTTTGCCAACTGACAGGATTGCACGGTAGTGAAGTTTCAGTGAAGTGACGTCATTAGCGCCGCAAGGCTTATTGCTGACCTTGCGTTTTCTAAAATAGACTTTTAAGGCCAATCATTTTAATTATGGACAGAATTTTGACAATTTTTTGACAGATTTCTTGGATTATGCTGTCTAAAATTATCTTTCACTGTCAAATGTCAAAAAAATTGCTTCTAAATATTTTTATTTGTATAAAAATTAGTGTTCATAACAGCTACTTTGGGTAAAAATTACATGCTTGATAGTCTAAACCAAGGGGAAATAAATTAAGCAATCTGTAAGCTCATCTGAATAGTGCGAACTTATAGCTTACATAAAGAACATAATTGTTATCAAATGGCATTATATCAATTATGATAACCAAAAAAGGGTCACAAATGGCATCTTTTTATTTTTATCATAGTGTTCTTATAGTTACTATGGGTAATTATAACATGCATGGTCGTCTAAACTACAGGAAAACAAATTGGATAATCTACAAGTTAATCTGAAAATTGATATCAAATGGTATCTTTTTATTTTTCAAGGTCATGGGTAGGAGCTACGGTGTGCCTGAACTTGACGAAGACGACCTGGAAGCTGAATTGGAGGCATTAGGAGACGAACTGGGAATGGACGAGGACGCTGACTTCCTGAACGAGGCAGCCAATGTGCCGGAAGGGGATCCGGCTTCATCTTCCAAACAACCGACTAGTGCCGACGGTCAAGTAGCTGTGGACGAGTTCGGATTGCCACAGATGCCTGCAACCTAATTGGAACTTGTTTTTAATTTAACTGCGCGTTCCAAAAGAAGGAACAATTTCATATCTGTGCTCCCAATTATGTTCATAGTCGAATTTTACAAAAATAGAATTAGTTGACCTTTTTTGCTAACAATTTGGCCCGTTTTTGAGTTGACGGCGAGTAATAATGATTCAATGCAGAAGAAATATCATCTTTAATGTGTTTCGGAGACCTTTAGGCTACTAAGATATCTTCGCTATATTTATGAAGTATGTACAAATACATTAATCCGGGTTTCACTTCTTTTGAAATTCGTTGAAATAGAAATCTATTTTTTCAATCGACGTTTTACATTCAAGCGATTTCTTTGGTTCACTATTTTTTGAGAAGTTTTGTTAGCATTATATTACAATTGTTGGCATTTAATTTGTGGTCTTTACGACCCTGCTGGAATCGAAACCGGGCCTCGGGGTCTGGAGTCAGATGAGTAAGCCAGTATACCATCAGTCTGCAAAAAGCGCGAGAAATAAGAATTTATTATGGAATGGCGCGTTCTTAATATTTGGGAAGAACATTACGCATAAACGTAAATATAAGTTTGAACAGAAATTGTTCGCTGCTCTATTGTCTTCTTAAATCGAATGGCTGAGAGGCACCGGGTTTCAGAATCCCGCTGGGAAAAAAGTGTTTTAGCTGAGTTGTATCTGATTTGTATTTGCCACGTATTGTGTTATATCGCCGATTTATTTCACCAAAAAGTTATGGACAATGAGCAAATTAGTATGAAATATTTCAGCAAGTATATCACACTTTTGAGAGCAAGTCTCTTTTAATCGGGAACTAGACTGTTTTTTCCATAAACATTGTTTCTTACAATAAATTGAACTTTCTTTATCGTTGAACCCTAGCGACTCCGTCAGCCTCCGTTTTTTCACCGTTGGCCTGGGGGTAACGCGACTGCTTTCGGTGTCACATCCTGGTTTTTCTTGTGCTTTGAGCAAGTATCATGGTAGTTGCAAGTGTCGATCATTCAGGTGTCAGGAATGACAAAAAGTTTTTTTTTTTTTTAAATTATTTTTTTGGGTCAACATAAGTCTGCTCAAAGAAGTTTTTTTCAATTTGCAGAAAGTAAATCTCCTAAATCTGAGATTTTGTGTTCAATGAACAGAACAATGTTTGTATGAATTTCCTCTACATAATCTACTACGCTCAATTGTTTAACAAAAAAGTAATGGCCCTAGGAAAAGTCATTTTTTTCGCGTTTTTTGAAACTATTTGATTTTTCTCGAAACTTACCCTCCGAAATCCGAGTTTTTACGGTCAAACGAAATAAAAAAAGTCTTGTCTGCATAAGCGGCTATGCTCAATGTTTTTTTTACAAAAAAAAGTTATGATTTTAGGAAAAGTCAGATTTTGTAAAAACCCGTTTTTTGGAATCTGTGCTTGAGCGGCCACAACCTGCTTTTTCCAGAAAAATCATTGATATTGGAACGTTAAATTTATGATTTCGTGACTGTTTTATAGAAACTTTTCGACGTTTTTGACTTAAGATCTGAGATAAAGCGAAAGAACTGGTGCAAAAGTTTTTTTGAAGCTGCAGCGACTCCCTTTTTTGTACGAAAAATGTTTATGATTTTGGAATTATTCTAGTTTATCAAAATTTTTCTTCTATTTTAGAAGAGAAAAAATTGAGGTTTTAGGCACAGTCCAATTTATGAAATTACCCATCTGATCCTGCATCAATATAACGAATTCCGAAACTATCAAGTAGGTACCTCCAGCACTAGCTGGGCCTCTAGTTATATTTTATCGAGACTTAAAAAAATTTAAGTTCACCTTAATTTTTTGTTGCGCTTTTTTACGTTTTTGTTGTATCGCAAGTGGTGCGAATATATATCGCCTCTGTATATATTAAAAGAAACTCAGGCAATTGAAAATAATCATTATTTCAAGCTTTTACAATGGGTTACTGGGTTTTTCCGGTACACACGTGTATGGTCTATGCGCGTATTTTAGTGCTTGCTTTGATAACTTCTCCATTGCTTCTTATAATGTATCAACTAATGTTTTAATTATTGTTTATTATCAGCTATCTGATTTTTGCACAGCTTTTTCGGCTTATTGGGCGCTCGCCACTTTTTTGTCGGCTTCGTCGCTGAAAATTATCGTTTTAGTTTAAATATTATCTTTAGACGAGTGAATCGTAGTTTCATATTATGTTAGCCGCTTCTTTCCAACCCAAATTGCAAATAAAATTTTTTTGCAGCAAGTTCATTATCTCTGATTCTCTTTTTGTTGCATTTGTATTATATTTTATCTAATTGATTGTCAAGCGCCCATGGCGCTGATGCTAGGACGTGAGGCTCAGAATCTCGAAGTCGGGGGCTCAATTCCGGTGCATCTCATGGTTTTTTATTGGTTTACTTTTTCCTTCCTTTTAGAGCTACTTTTTGCTGTTTTCTTGCTTGTGTTAGCGAAGTGCAGCTTCGTCGCCTCTGTGTTTATAAATTTTATCTCCTGGTTCTTTTGCAGTTGCTCTTAAGATAATTTGTCTGGGCTAATTAGTTCCGAAACAACATAACTGTCTATGTAATATTTGAAGAAATTTCAATTTCTTAACTGTTTTTAGTTAGTTGAACCTCACTACTTCTGCTTGGTATTACTTATGCTTTGATTCTATCTGTCCGGAGAATTGCCACTTCTTTTCGATAATGGATCAGATCAAAACGCTAATTAAGTGACCAGCGATGTTCGAGTTCGATTATGTCTAGCCTTCAATTTCTGCATTTCAGTGTCAAACTCCCATCTCGTGTACAGTCCTGTTGGCATATCTTGACACATTGAGAAAGAATAAAGCTGGCTTGCATCAATTCCAACGATTGATTTAGAAACATTTGATGAACTTCTGATGTATGTTTCATCAACTACAGCTTTTGGAGTGAAAATTATGGAAGGTCCACCAGCCATGTTCTCTCTAATTTTTTCACACAAGTCTTTATCACTTTCGCAAAATGGATAAAACTTGTAATTTGTGGATTTGTGTAGACATATGTTTGCTAGATTTGGAAGTGTGCATCCAAGTTTTAACATATCTATCCCCTTGTTACGATAAAACTGAATCATTTTTGGCATTGCCTCCAGGGTTGGAACTACATCTTTGTTGTTGTACCACTTCAAAAAGTCTTTGAACACTGTCATTCCATTTTTCTTCCAAGTCTCTTGTAAGTAATTGTAATTATCCAAACCAGATGGAGGAGCAATCTTGATTTGAAGCTTTTTCAGTACCTGTTGTTCGTCAAACCCACTTTTTCTAAGCTTTTCATAATCAATGAAGTCTTTGTCTAGGGGATTGTTGTTTATAAGTTTACTGAAAAAGGCTTCATACGGTGGCAATTCAGGAAGGTCAAGTTTGTCTGGGTTATCAAACCACTCATAGGGAAAGAATCCTTTCGTTTCGCTAGCTTTATAGGCTTTGAGAAAGGAGTCCAGAGTAGTTGCTCCTCCCAGAAACTGCATTATTTCGAGAAATTGTACACCTCCAAACTTGAAAGATATAAAGTCATTTGCTTTTTTGATGACGGATGTTTCCTGTTCTTTATCGCGAATCAAATAGGTGATAAGGTAGGACTTGATTAAATTTAAATCCTAGACCGCTTTTAAATCCAAAAACAGGTAAACTATTTACATATCTCTCCAGATGTTGTTTCAAATCAATGAGTTGATTTTTCTGAATTCGTAAGAATTGTGTTGACTTATCTGCTTCTTCCGTATCTTCAATGCATTCGTCTTCGTACTCACATTTATTACACGAATAACTTTTACCACATTCGTTCAGCTGATCAAAGATCTTTTTCATTCTTTCATTGACAGCTGCTTCAATATCTTGAAATTTTGTTCTCATCTCCAAGTTACTTTTCTCAGCCAACAGCTCGAGCTTACTTACAAAATCAATAATCAAGTTCTGTGGATCCTTGTTGTGCAAAAAGATGGGTTCATCAATCAGATTCGATGATATAGAGACTGAAATTTGAACATGTTTTCCAATCCAGGTAGTAGTTTGCGTCTCTTTTGGTTCCTCTGTAGGAACACAAATCGACTCAAAATCGAAAACTGCTAGATTATTAAAAAAATTTTATCTTCAGAAACTGGAAGATTGAATCCTTCTAGCTTTTCAAACAAGGTTTCGCGAAGCTCATAGACATTCTTTGGGTAAATATGTTTTACTCGGTCTTTGCATCTCAGAAGATGTTTGTTGAGAAATTGCTGCAACTGATTTGAACTACGAATGAGCACTTCTCAAAATTGGCAAAGATTGGCGCCAAAGGTGCCCTTAGAAGTAATTTAGGGTCAGTCAGCCAAAAATGGATATCTCAAAATGGGCCCCTTTGGGTTGGCAGGGGGTCGAATCCCTAAGGAGCCCCCCCCCTCCCTAAATCCGATGGTGATTGTTGCTGTTTTCTCTGTATCTTCGATATTTTCTCTGTATTGTCTTGGTGTTAATTTTTGGAGCTCAACGGGTATAATAATTTCAGAGAAAATGTCCTGAAAATGACGACAGATCAAACTACAGCTGTTTCCGAATCGCCCGCTCGATCGGAGGTGGGCAAAGGAGCACGTGTAGCAATTGAGAAATGTCTTCAAAACGAGGCCAAACTGACTCCAATTCGAAACAGCATCAGGAAAACTGCAGCGAGAAATGTGGATGGAAGTGAAACTCCAGCTGGGGCGGATACTGCTCTTGTGAGGTTGCAAGAGAAGACAGGGGCGGATACTGGAAGTGCTCTGATTAAACTGACGGAGGCTTATCTGAGGAAGATATCGAGACCCAAGAGGAAGATTCTAGAAGAGGATGTTTATGTTCAAGTGAGTAGACTGTCTTTTCTGAAACACGATTCACCCACCAGGGAAAGGACCAACATACGAGTTTGTCAGCTCTTTAGGTAGAACTGCTGTCGTGTCCCTATAGATAATAATTACATGGTTTTTCTGGGATGATAATTGTTGCTTCAACCGGGTGGCAACGAGCGCGGATCATAATAAGCCTCAAACTACCGAAACTCAGAGTGAGATGTAGATACATTGTCGAAAAACTGTCTATATATCATTTGCTAATTTTGAAAAAAAAACATGGACATCAGCATATGCTATGTCAACATATCTTCCGACTTCAATTGTTTTGCAAGCGTTCGAATTGATTTTTGTACAATTACTGCAGAGCTTTAGAAAACTACAATGCTTTCCTTGGATGTTTTTGGGCTTATTTGTTGCATGTTGTCATGTTGCAGGAAATTGAGTCGATCATCGAGCGCGACTTCTTTCCTTATATGGAGAAAATGAGAGCTCAGGCTGACTTCGCAGACGCAGTGGACGAGGACGACGTGAAGAAACTGCAGAGTCTCATTGCCAAATATGGAAGGGCTTGTCTGGATGGAACTGACAGTTAGTTTTCGCTCCCATTTTGTCTTCAAATGATTCCAGTTTTCGTCACAAAGTTACGGAGTTTCTGAACATAGAGACAGGGAGATAAAAATTTCACTGCGAATTTTGTTAACATCATTGAAATGTATTTCCGATTTGTTAAACTGTCAATTTACATTTTCGGATAGTTTTAAAAATTTTGCTAAACGTTAATTGATCAAATAATTTTGGTTTCAGTCGGAGATAGGTCCCCCTCTACGTTCGACACTCCTCTGGCCAGAAACCCCAGTCCCCCCAGGGACGCATCAGCATCTCTCATATCAGGTATGCAATTGGCGAAAGAACACATAATGTTCATCAGTTAAAAGCTATAGGATAACGAAATTGCGCTTACATTAGTTGAATCTGAATTCAGAAACTGTTTGAAATAAGATGTTATCTTTTTCAATCAGCCAAATTGTTTCTATTTTTCAAGCTGAGCTATTGATTCTCTTGTATAATGAACAAAATCGGGTATAATTTGGAAGTTGGATGTAAAATGGTAAACTTAGTGTGAATTGTTCAGATATTCTGTCAAACACTGGAGGATCAATGAGAACAGTGAAAGAGAGGGAAATTTTGAAGGCAGACTCAAAGAAGGGCTTGAACGACTTCATGTCTCGGGTCACAAGCGAAGACAATGTCTCCTTCGACGAACTCTGCACACTTCAAAACATCGCCCAGAGAATCAAACATTACTGGATATTCAAAGCGGAAACAGAAGCACACTCTAGTTTTGCAATTCAAGATAGTCGCAATGAAAACTCGAATTCTTTGGAGCTGGCTTTAAAAGACAGTTCAATTGATACAGGAAAAACGAAACACTCAGTGCCACTGGATACGTGGCCCTATCAAGCTAGAAATATGCTCATGTTTAACCCCGATGGTATAGATGTTGCACTCCAGGACAAGATGGCAGATGCAAAGAAAAGTACAATGCAAATTGTTCATAATAATACACGATTCGCACCAGGATTTCTAGAAGAGCAGCAGAAACAGGCGAAGCTGACAGATCATATAGCCCAAACAAAAGCGATGAAAAGGGGCAATATAGGCCCGGACGGCAAAGAAATTGTGCCAGACAATGAGAACGACCCAAATGCTAAGTACTCTTTTTTGGCGACGCCATCTCCGATGCCTGGACATGGTAAGAGAAATGCACTATTTCAATATTTACACAAGCAATGCTTGTGTTATAGTATGAATTATCTTTTTTCCAACCTTATTCGCAAATATTGTTGCGACGCAAATATTGTTGCGATGAAATGTGTTCATTTTGAAAGTGTTCATTTTGATCAATAACCAGCTTTTAAGTACAGCCAATGCTGAGGATTTTTACACAGACTATTATTGTTCAGACTTTCGTAACGAAATTAACGGAATATTTGTGCTGGGGGTGGTTTTTTCTTCAGACAAGTTTCGACCTTTCAACTATTTGTAACCATTTTGACGGTTTTTTTTCTACGGTATTTTTAACCATTTTGACTTTCCATATCATTCAAAAAGTATTGTTGTCCTGGGCTTAAATTTGGAAATATATTTCACCTGTGATCATTTTTCGTAAAGTTATGGAAGTTTAGAAATTGCCAATTTGGGACAACTAACACGCGATATATTTTGCGCTATTAACGCGTAAGCGGAGATTTAATCCGTCATATAAATCGTTCCAAATTGGTTGAAGGAAGCTTATTTGCCATAAACGATTTGTCACTAGAAGCGAAATGTATCATTTTTTACTTGATATTGCGTGTGGGGGGATGATTTTCACATAAAATCTCAATTTAAAAAATCATTTCATTTTCATTACATTAAATTTTTTCAGGTTATAACTGCTCCATAGACTGCTCTATAAATGGAGACATGTTAGTTGGTACATTTTTTTTTAATTGACTGGTACTGCTAATGCGTCATAGTTGGCGTGCGTCACTTAAGAAATTTTGTAGACTCTAAGTTTTACTCTTTCAGTTTTTCGCAGTAGCGTTATCGGTCATATTTTTGCTTATGTATGCGAAATGCAACTTCGCATCTGTGTCATGAAACTGTTTTCTTCACAAATTCGAATTTCTGCGCCGCTGACACTTTTTTTTTGAAGAAAAAACAGGTCAATAATGCCGTTTTGGGACTTTTTGTGGATGTTTGTTTCGGAGCTGTTTTAATGAGCCTGGTTTTTTTTACAACCCCATCCCTGTGTCGGAAGTTCATTTTTTTTGTTGAAAGAAGGTCGCTGAATAGTGATATTTGATTTGATGAGTAAAAAGCGACTGAAGTTTGATAAACTTCGATGAGACTGATTTTTGTTAGTAAACCTTCCATACATATTAAGTAGTTAACAACTGTTGTGATGCCATATGCGATTGATTCCTGATAATTGCTTTAATGAGCCTCAAATGCGGTTGAATCCGGTTATTTGATTGAATGAGGTGATTTTATGTTAATAAGTCGTTTAAGTCTTTTTGAGAATTGTACAACAAATGCGATAGAACACATGTTGGAATCCTGATAACATGTTTAGTGAGTTTGATTACTCTTGCTCAATCCTTCGTATATAAACAGGAATTAATAAATTTCATGATGAAAGTGGCGACTAGATCCTGATAATTGATTGAATGGGCCTGATTTTATGTTACTCAGTCGTTTGAGTCTTATAAAAAAATTGTACACTAACTGTGAAAAAAGCTACGCCGGAATACTGTTAAATCTTTTAATGAGCTTCATTTGTATTACTCGATCCTTAGTATTTATATAAAGTTAACAAATTTTGTGATAAAAATGGCGACTGAATCCTGATAATCGGTTTAATAAGCCTTATATTTTGCAATTTAAATCAATCTTTCATTTTGTTTGAGAGTAAAAAAAATTTGTGATAAAAAATGCGACTGAATCCTGATACTTGGTTGAATGAATTGGTTTTTTTTGTCTCTCAATCGCTCTTTTTTAGTTACGGATTGACAATTTTTGTGACAACTAATGCGATTGAATCCTGAAAACTGTTTTGATGAGCTTAATGTTTTTTGTAATTCGCTCTGCTTTGTCATAATTGGTAGATACAAGTCTCGTGATGAATAATTCGTTTGAATCCTCAGAGCTGATTTAATGAGCCTGGTTTTTTCCAACCCCATCCCTGTGTCAGAAGTTCATTTTTTTAGAGTTGAAAGAAGGTCGCTGAATCGTGATATGTGATTTGATGAGTCATTCTGTATCTTGATCATCTTTGTCTTAGTTGGGCATTTGGAGTTCAATTTTGTTGTGGTAAAAAGCTACTGAAATTTCATAACCTCTTCGATGAGATTGATTTTTTGTTAGTAAGATTTTCATATATATCAAGTAGTTAACAACTGTTGTGATGAAAAATGCGATTAATTCCTGATAATTGATTAAATGGGCCTCAAATGCGGTTGAATCAGGGTATTTGATTGAAAGAAATCGGTTTTGTATTAAGTCGTTCAAGATTTTTTGAGGAATGTAAAACAATTGCGATAAAACCCACGTTGGAATCCTGATAACATGTTTAGTGAGTTTGATTTCTGTTACTCAATCCTTCGTATATTTATAGGAATTAATAAGTTTCGTGATGAAAGTGGCGACTGAATTCTAATAATTGATTGAATGAGCCTGATTTTATGTTACTCAGTCGTTTGAGTCTTATAAAAAATGTTTATTAACTGTGAAAAAAACCTACACTGGAATCCTGATAAATTGTTTAATGAGCTCCATTTTTGTTACTCGATCCTTAGTATTTATATAAAGTTAACAAACTTTTTGATGAAAATGGCAACTGATTCCTGATAATTGCTTTAATGAGCCTCAAATGCGGTTGAATCCGGTTATTTGATTGAATGAGGTTGATTTTATGTTAATAAGTCGTTTAAGTCTTTTTGAGAATTGTACAACAAATGCGATAGAACACATGTTGGAATCTTGATAACATGTTTAGTGAGTTTGATTACTCTTGCTCAATCCTTCGTATATACACAGGAATTAATAAATTTCATGATGAAAGTGGCGACTAATACCTGATAATTGATTGAATGGGCCTGATTTTATGTTACTCAGTCGTTTGAGTCTTATAAAAAAATTGTACACTAACTGTGAAAAAAGCTACGCTGGAATACTGTTAAATCGTTTAATGAGCTTCATTTGTATTACTCGATCCTTAGTATTTATATAAAGTTAACAAATTTTGTGATAAAAATGGCGACTGAATCCTGATAATCGGTTTAATAAGCCTTATTTTTTGCAACTTAAATCAATCTTTCATTTTGTTTGAGAGTAAAAAAAATTTGTGATAAAAAATGCGACTGAATCCTGATACTTGGTTGAATGAATTGGTTTTTTTTGTCTCTCAATCGCTCTTTTTTAGTTACGGATTGACAATTTTTGTGACAACTAATGCGATTGAATCCTGAAAACTGTTTTGATGAGCTTAATGTTTTTTTGTAATTCGCTCTGCTTTGTCATAATTGGTAGATACAAGTCTCGTGATGAATAATTCGTTTGAATCCTCAGAGCTGATTTAATGAGCCTGGTTTTTTTCCAACCCCATCCCTGTGTCAGAAGTTCATTTTTTTTAGAGTTGAAAGAAGGTCGCTGAATCGTGATATGTGATTTGATGAGTCATTCTGTATCTTGATCATCTTTGTCTTAGTTGGGCATTTGGAGTTCAATTTTGTTGTGGTAAAAAGCTACTGAAATTTCATAACCTCTTCGATGAGATTGATTTTTTGTTAGTAAGATTTTCATATATATCAAGTAGTTAACAACTGTTGTGTTGAAAAATGCGATTAATTCCTGATAATTGATTAAATGGGCCTCAAATGCGGTTGAATCAGGGTATTTGATTGAAAGAAATCGGTTTTGTATTAAGTCGTTCAAGTCTTTTTGAGGAATGTAAAACAATTGCGATAAAACCCACGTTGGAATCCTGATAACATGTTTAGTGAGTTTGATTTCTGTTAGTCAATCCTTCGTATATTTATAGGAATTAATAAGTTTCGTGATGAAAGTGGCGACTGAATTCTAATAATTGATTGAATGAGCCTGATTTTATGTTACTCAGTCGTTTGAGTCTTATAAAAAATGTTTATTAACTGTGAAAAAAGCTACGCTGGAATACTGTTGAATCGTTTAATGAGCTTCATTTGTATTACTCGATCCTTAGCATTTATATAAAGTTAACAAATTTTGTGATAAAAATGGCGACTGAATCCTGATAATCGGTTTAATAAGCCTTATTTTTTGCAACTTAAATCAATCTTTCATTTTGTTTGAGAGTAAAAAAAATTTGTGATAAAAAATGCGACTGAATCCTGATACTTGGTTGAATGAATTGGTTTTTTTCGTCTCTCAATCGCTCTTTTTTAGTTACGGATTGACAATTTTTGTGACAACTAATGCGATTGAATCCTGAAAACTGTTTTGATGAGCTTAATGTTTTTTGTAATTCGCTCTGCTTTGTCATAATTGGTAAATACAAGTCTCGTGATGAATAATTCGTTTGAATCCTCAGAGCTGATTTAATGAGTCTGGTTTTTTTCCAACCCCATCCCTGTGTCAGAAATTCATTTTTTTAAAGTTGAAAGAAGGTCGCTGAATCGTGATATGTGATTTGATGAGTCATTCTGTATCTTGATCATCTTTGTCTTAGTTGGGAATTTGGAGCTCAATTTTGTTGTGGTAAAAAGCTACTGAAATTTATAACCTCTTCGATGAGATTGATTTTTTGTTAGTAAGATTTTCATATATATTAAGTAGTTAAAAACTGTTGTGATGAAAAATGCGATTAATTCCTGATAATTGATTAAATGGGCCTCAAATGCGGTTGAATCAGGGTATTTGATGGAAAGAAATCGGTTTTGTATTAAGTCGTTCAAGTCTTTTTGAGGAATGTAAAACAATTGCGATAAAACCCACGTTGGAATCCTGATAACATGTTTAGTGAGTTTGATTTCTGTTACTCAATCCTTCGTATATTTATAGGAATTAATAAGTTTCGTGATGAAAGTGGCGACTGAATTCTAATAATTGATTGAATGAGCCTGATTTTATGTTACTCAGTCGTTTGAGTCTTATAAAAAATGTTTATTAACTGTGAAAAAAAAACCTACACTGGAATCCTGATAAATTGTTTAATGAGCTCCATTTTTGTTA